ATTCTGAGCCAAAAGGCTTTAGCAAACCCCTGGAAGGAGTTGGGTTACTTTTCCTTTGCAGGGATTCCCGTAAAAGGAGACATTCCACTGTGGGGTCGGAAGCGCTTCCTTTGTTGACATTTGTTTTCTAATATTCTGGTGCTGAGCAAAAATGCATGGAAGGAGGTCGGGCTGAAACTCCAATCGCAGCCCAGATCCGTAGGCCTGGAGAAAGATGGCAAAGGTTACCTCTGAAACATCCCATAGGACTCATAACACCTTTGTCCCTCCGATCTCCCCAGCGCCTCCATCCCTGTTCCACTGATTGTTAGTCACTTTTATCATGGACCCTCTATTTATATTCAGTGTCTTTATTGCTCTTTATGCGCAATACTATTCCCGAGACACTGCGTACTTTTAGAACAACCTAAAGGCTGGATCTGTAGGTTCAAGCGGCGTCCTGTTACAGCCTTGAACAGTAAACAGCACCCACTACCGTCACCGCCCGAATATCCTTGCTTGGATGCCACGTTTTAGACAGTCTTGGTTTTATCTGCTTTTCGGTTCCTCTCTGCCTGAATCCTGGCCACCCCGTTTGAATGACTAATTGAAACCTTTCTAACTTTCTCGGCACTCCGTGGGGAAATTCCATTTGAAAACTCTTTTCCCTGTCATTTCTACTAGGTAGGTGAAAGAAGGAAGATGGGAAATAGGTGCTCCCCCCCCCCCCGCGCAGCCGTGTGTGTGTGTGTGTGTGTGTGTGTGTGTGTGTGTGTGCGCGCTCTTCTTTTTCCTTTCAAATGACATAGGGAGTTTGGACAACCTCCCTACCCCCCACCTCTCCTCTTTGATGCGAACCCTGATTCTCATTCCTGGAGAATCAGGAATTGAGGGCGTGGGTAACCTCCTATGGTGGGAACAGCAGGGTCCACCTAAGGGAGCATCTCCACACCTATCCTAATCTCAAATGAACCCCAGCTGCCCACATCCCAGGAAGTCACCGAGGTCCCTTAAGGCCGGTTCCACAGCCTGGTTCTGCAGAAGTGTGATAGCATCTGACAGAGGTTTCCGTGAGCCCAATGATGCTCCCAGCTTTGTGGGGCCCGCTCCGCCCCTCCCGGGCGGGGTTCGCTGGGGAACAACTTACTGTGTTCTTGGGGGGCATTTACAAACTCCCAAGTGTAGGTGGGAGCGGGGCAGGGGGGAGCAAGACTATGTACCCTGTAGAGTAGGAGCAACAAAAGAAAAAAAAAAAAAGAACCAACAGCGGGAGGCTGAAGGGGATGAAAGCAAAGGGAGAACAGAGAGGAGAGGGGCCAGAAGAAACAGCGAACTGGAGACTACTCTCTGGCTTCAGGATGCTGATAGGGGACTCCCTGGGAGGGGCTGGCCTTTCTTTGGGTCCTCTTGGGTTTGCTGCTCAGACAGGTAGTTGGGAGAAACCGAAAGAGCTGTCAGCTGAGGCAGACGGCGGCCCAGCGGCGTCCAGAACCCTGCCTTGCGCGATCGCGCCCCGACCTGGCTCAAGCGCGCGGTGCAGGTGTCGGCTCCCCTGACGCCCCTCCTGGAAAGGGGGACAAGTCGCTTCCGAAGGGACGGGCGGCGGGCGGGGGAGGGGCTAGGGGGCTTGGGGGCGGGGCGGGGGGCGGGTGCGCCCCCTGAGAGCCAAGCCGGGCCGGGTACCGACTGCCACCCTGCCGCAATTTCCCTGTGTCATGGCTCCTGTCTCTTAGCAACAGCCGCCAGTCCGGCCGCCCGGAGCAGCCGCCGCGGGCTCAACTCCACCCGGCGAAGCCCGGCGCGCCGCAGCCACACAAAAGAAGCGCAAGGCCGGCGAGCGCGCGGCCGCAAGGGCCAGCGGGGAGCGCGACGGGAGGGGACAGTGGCAGCCGAGGAGGCGCGCCCGAGGGAAGAAGGGCTCCAGGCGGCGCGCGGGCTGCGGAGGACCTGACACTTCTTGGAAACTCTTGGAAATGGCTCCCGCCACCGCGCCCGAGGGAACGGCGAGCCCCTGGAGCAGGTTCGTCCGGGCCGAGCTGTCCAGCCTTTGCGCCCGGGGCCCCGGGGCGCTGTCCCTGCGCTCCGCCGTCGGCTCGGGCTGAAAAGTTTCTCCATGGTTCTTTGTGTCTCCCGAGCTGCCCCGGTCTCCCTGGGTAAGTGAGAGATTATTGTTTGCTTAGAGTGCCTCCATTTTGAGCAATCCTGTCAATCCCCGGCCTCCGAGCGCCCTTCACCAGCCCACCTGTCCCTCAGCCCAGGCCCCTTGGCGGATGTTCCTAGCCAGGTGTTCTCCTGGGCGTGCTACCAGGGTTGCGCTGCCCAGAAAAGGCGAGTTGGGGATTGCCTTCACGTTGCTCCAGCCCGTCCTCCCTCCAGAGGCGGACTTGCAGCTGCTGCACTCATGTGACTAGACCAAGGCAAGGGCAAGAGACGCACGGCCCTGGGGCCAGGGGCCGGGGGTCGAGGACCTAGGTTGGGTGTGGGGCACAGTATGGAGCGCAACCTGGGGCCCTGAGTCTCTGACGCCGGGCTCGATCCATCATGAGCAGAGAACTTGAATCTCTCTCTTGGAAGCAGTTGTATTTTTAGACATCCCTCATTTGATTTCCCCATCCTCCATTCCTTAACCAAGGCAGGACTCACGCCAGGCAGCCAGTTGAGAAGGCATACGACACCCGCTGCTAAGTTTGTTTTTCTTCGTTAGGTCTAAGGAAAGCATCAAAGGGGCTTTTCCGTGGCACCTGACCTTTGTCAGTATTCTGTGCCAGATCGCGAGACACTGAAAAGGAGTTCAGTTGTCAAGCGAGCTGAAAGCATAATAAACTAGGGAACTAATTACCAGCTATTAAAAAACTAATTTTAAATATCGTCTGTAAACCGTGGTTGAAATCCATTCCAACTTTCTTTATATTCTGCGGGACGTGAACTGGCTTGCAGAAGAGGAAGGTCTCTTCCTCCTCCAAGACATCCAGCACGGGGTGGGGGTGGGGGGGCACCTGATCTGTGTCCAACAAAACGTCTCTCTTCAGAGAGCCACCCTGCAGGCTGGAGCTGGCTTTGTTTCTAAAATGCCTGGACCTTAAAGACTCCTGAAGTCAATCCAGACCTCAAGATTATTCAAGATGCTGGAGCCTTACAGTTCAGTTAAAACAGCAATATCTGTGCTGCAACCATATAGTACAAGCACAGGGACAGCCTGTCATGTCTACTCAGTATTTATGTTTATTGGCCCAGGACCTTTTAAAAAAAAAACAAATTTTACAGGTTTGCAGATATAGTCTCACCATTCACTCCCCACCCCCACCCCCGGAAACATTTGACATTTCTCTATTGAATTCCAACCAAGTTCCAAAGATATGCCGGTTTGCAAGCAATTAAAAAAAAAAAAACCTGACTGCTATTTGCTTACCACGTGGAGAAAAGATCCTACCCAGGCTGACATTCTGAAAGAATCGGGGGGGGGGGGGGCAGAGTTATTCACCTAAGCACCAGTTAGAAGCAAAATTCTACCCAAGTAACTTCCATTTTCCAAGGATAACTTACTCTACTATGTGGACTGTCTTGAAGGAACCGTACACTCAAAGGCCTGTGCTGGCCCTCTGTATCTTTAAGAGCCACGTAATGCCCTTAATTTCAGCATCTCTGTTACAGGAGGGAACACCACCACTGGAAGAGAGAGTGCACTCTGAGGACCCAGCAGGGTGGGACTCTTGACAACTGACAGATAACAAGGAGCAGGCATCAGCTCTCGTACCTACTTAGACTGTATAGCCAACAACCCAGAGAGCTCCCCAGAACTAGGGCACCCTTGCCTCCACTCCTCTTCCTCAAAATGACCTTCAGAGGAAAGGAGGAAGCAAACTGCTTTTATGTGTGGAAATACCTTCCTATAAATCAGCACTATGTAGACTGCTTTACCCAGCTAGTGGACTATTCATTTGAACACTGGGGTTCTTGGTACATTAATAAAAGGGCCAGACGCTGTTGTGGCCGAGTTCTCTGTTGTTGTTTTAATGTTGAAATTTTCCCACGTAAGGAAGGTGATTTCTTACAGAGATGGCAGGGGACCTCTCGGATTCCCTGATGAAATCTAGTACAGGAGACCTTTAGAGGGACTTCCTCCAGGGGAGGACAGAAAGCCAGAAGGAAGAGCGTGGTTACATAACAGTTACCTAAATGGAAATATTCCACACCAAGAAGCTTTCCAGATGTTGCAGGGTGGCGACGAGGGGACCGGGAGGGGCTGTGCTTGCCCATTGCCCTAGGACCTGAGTAGCCAAGAGGCAACTTTATGGAAAGATTTGTTGATGGTATTGAAGAAGCAGTGCTGAGATTTTCTGGACAATACTCCCTGTCACTGATCTGAAGTAAGCCATTCTGCCAGTGTGTGGTGCTTTGCTCTCACCCTGGGAAATGGATTCCTTTCTTTTTATACTCTACTAACTTTCAGAACTGTTTAGTGGTTTTCAGCTCACATGGGGCAAGCGCCTGGCTCGGAGGCCTGATGCGGCCGGAAGCCCCTCCTTTGGGGGAACTTTTCCATTGCAGAGAGAGGCAGGGTGAAAACACAGAGGTGTGGACCAAGAAAGCCCTCACACACTACTTGGAGCCCCCCACATTCGCTGAGTTTATAAGGATGGTAGGAATTCCACTGGCTGCCAGCCAGGAGGCTTTCAGATGAACGGTACCACGAGGTCACCCTGGCAGCATGTGGGCGGCGGGGTGGTGGTAGTGAAACTGTTTCAAACCACCTTTCTCTTCAGTTACACAGACCCCGTCTCTGGTCCGCACAGCCAGCACTTGGCCTTGAGGTGGGGGTGGAGACACACCTGGAGTTGGATCCAGGAGCAGGGGCAACCCTAGCAAGTGGGATGTTGCTGCAGCCAAGCCCCGCACCCTCTGACTGTGTTCCTCTGCTTTGCTGCAGGAGGAGGTGGCCAAGCATCTAGAGGGCAGTTGGCTCGCTCAAGCTTCGGCCCCAGCCCTAGGGGCTAGCCCTGAACTCCACCCACCAGTTCGCCATGATCGCCACCGGTGGCCTCCTGAGGATATCCGCCAGAAAGCAGGATCCCCTCCGGCCCCCCAGCCAGGTTCCTAAGCGCAAGAGGAAAGCCAAAAAGAGGCGTAAGAACGACGTGGTGGTGGTGAAAGGCAAATTAAAGCTGTGCTCCATCTCGGGGCTTATTGCCCTTTGCGGGATCCTAGTGCTGTTGGTGGGTATAGCCATGGCCGTGGTGGGTTACTGGCCGAAGGGCAACGCAGCCAACAGAGGAGGCGGCAAGCAGCTACCGCCTGTGGAGGGTAGCCATCGCTTTGGGACCACTGGCAACAACAGCAGTGGCAGCAAAAACCCAACCAAGAGCCACTCTGGGACCCCAGGGGGTGTCAACTCTAGTTCTGTGGGCGGGCCCAGGAGTTCGCCTCCTACTAGATCTGCAGCCACATCCTCTTCCTCCTCCTCCACATCGGTGGGCTTCTTCTTCCGAATCGTCTCAGGCTACTTGCACTCAGACAAGCTCAAGGTCTTTGGGCCCCTCATCATGGGTATCGGCATCTTCCTCTTCATTTGCGCCAACGCGGTGCTCCATGAGAACAGGGACAAGAAGACCAAGATCATCAATCTGCGGGACCTCTACTCGACCGTCATCGACGTGCACAGCCTCCGCGCCAAAGATCTGGCGGCAGCAGCAGCTGCAGCCGCTGCAGCCGCAGCTTCCTCCTCCACCACCGCCCCGGGCTCTGCTCCCCCTAGGGCAGCGCCGCTCAATGGCTTTCTCAGCTACGTGCAATCTCGGGGTCTGGAGCTGAAACCTGGTAGCTGCACGGGCTCTGCAGATGCCTTCGGGGCCACTGCAATGCTGACCAGAGGCTCATGGCCCCACCCCGCCGGGATGGGCGGAGGCGGCGGTGTGACTCGAGATGCAGGGTCCCCGCCGGACCTGGTTTCATCTCCGCGCTGTCCCCGGGAGCCCCCGAGCCTGGCCGAGGCGGTGTACAGTATCTACCGTGAGCGCTCCAGCGGGGCTGGCCATCGCCGGACCACAGTTGCCGCGGTAGCTGCGGCCACTGCCACTGTCACCGCGGCCGCCAGTGGCAGCAGTAGTCCGGCGCCCTGCAGCCCTACCGGGAGTTGGGGTCGCCAGAGCACCACCAGTTCCCTCGTGGGCTCCTCACTGAGCGCCTTTGCACTGATGCCTTTGCAAGGGGACCGGGACAGAGATGGGGACTCGGAGGGAGCAAGCTGCAGCTGGCACAGGCCGCCCGGGGAACGAGGATCCCGGGATCTCCCGAGGGAAGAACTGGACCTGAGCCTGACTGACCTCCGGGGAGCCGAAGGCGGGGCGCGCTGGGCGTCCGGTGAGCCGGAGGAGCCCGAGGGCTCGGCGACAGCATGCACCGCCAGGGGGCAGGGCGGCCGCCTGCCCAGGACCGGCAGGTACGCGACCTGGCGGCGCCGCAGCACCAGCGGGCTCCTGGACTACCGGGCTCAACCCTCGCCGGAGCCCCCTCCCTCCCCGCACGCAGCGGACTTGGACTCCAGCCCTCCGGACACAGCCGCCACGCCCTCGCTCCCTCTGTGCCCCGAGGACACGCCCCTCGTCCGTCGGGACTCCCAGGGATCTCAGTCGGTTGAGCAGTCCTGCAGCAATAAGGGCTACACCCCCCTAAGGGAAGCCGACACCTCTGTGGAGTCGGTCGTGGACGTGGTGGCCCGGAAAAGGCTAGACTGTGTGGATGCCACGGATCCCGGTGCCGAACCTAGCTCCCCGGAGCGTTCCAGTCCAGAGACAAGTAGGGCGGAGCAGCCTCGGTTTGTGCAGAGGCAGTTTACAAACAAGGAGAAACTCTTTCTGATTTCCAGGTCTCACACCCCAGGAGTAGAGGACCCGGAACTGGAAAACTCTTCTTCCACCTAGGGAGGGGGGGGGGGCAGGGAAAGGAGAGTCCCACTGGAACCCCTACATTAACCCCAATCCATTTCCTTGTGGACAGGTCCGAGGAAACCATTCAATATCCAAAGAGCTGCAGGATGTTATCCTTGAATTGCGTTCACAAGATTCGTGTAGACAACAACTTAAAAAAAAAAAAAAGTTGTCTTTTTATGTCCGATGGTGATTGTATGTTCCATGAAAACCAGATGTATTATAAGGTCACAATTTAGTTCATTAGATAAAATCTCTTTAATTTTCCTAGGCTCAAAATAATATATTTTTGACAATAACTCTGCACTTTACTCCAATTTTTCTTTGTCCCTTCTCCCGACTTCCCCTGCCCTCTACTCTGCTGCTGACCTTGTCCATAGCTGCTTGTGAATAAATGACAAGCTTTTTGATTTTCCTCTTCTTGAAGAGCCTCGAAGAGTCGGTTCTCTTAGAACTGATCTCTCTAGGTGACGTCAAAGCCTAAAGCACGAACTTGGAGAGAGGGTTCCCTTGCCTTACCCTGCTCCCGGCTACAGCTGTCCAAAGGACTCTATTTTTCAAAAGGATCTTTGCATTTTGCTACCAGGGTATGTGGCGGGCGCCAGCAACTAGACTGGACTGTTAATTCCTTAACTCACAATACCAAGTCCACCATGTGTTACTGAGTATTATTACACCTGTATGGAAGGTAACATTAGTATTTAAAGTCTTTTTTTTTTTAAATAAAAAGTTTCCAAACAGTTAAACATAACCTTGCCTCGTTTTGCCTGGGAACTCGTGACTCCAGAGCACAGTCAACAAACAGTGAACAATGTCTCTCGTAAATCCAAAGTATTCGTCTGTTAAAGTGACCTTCTCCCCAAATGTCAGAGGTGTGTGAGTGCACAGATCCATTTCCAGTGTGTGACTGGAAGACACAGAGCAGTATGTGGCCCTTGGGAGTTTGTCTTTTAAGTAGAATGGAACCTCGAGTAAGTACTGTTTTCCTACAATACTTGTAGTTAACCTCCAGGTTCATTTACAGGGGTGCCAGGTTTAGTACCCCCTCCCCATCCACTCCTGTTTCTCTATTTGATCTCAGTTTCAGGCCCGTGGTCCTGCATCTATGGCTCGCATAAGGCACAGCAGTGTTATTGTATTTCAGGAGTAGTTTACATTGTCAATTGTCAAGACCAGAAAACAAAAAATTTACAGTTCCCCTCCGTCCTCCTCTGAGGGGCGATCTGAGACTCACTGTACAAGACAGGAACACTGCTTTTCAAGAAAAGTGTCACTAGCTTGTGGTGCTCCTCACGAGTGACCAGACATGATGCGATAGGTGCGTGGTTTCAGGACTGAAGGAGCTCAGTGGCATGTGCTAGCTGGGAAGCTCCTAGTGCTGGAGAGATAGGCCTCCACCATCAGCTCTGCAAGAAAGGGTTAAAAGACCTGCCCAGCTCTAAGGGGAACAACTGTAGAGTAGGCAGAAGAGCAGCGGTCAGAGGGCAACAGAGTTCCAGAAGACAGACTTAATTTAACACAGGGGGCTACTGTCTTATTATGACCATTGTAATGTACCTTCTACCGGCTGCAGCAGCAGATCAGGCTTGGCCCCAGGCTGCTGCAATCTGGGGTAGGTATTCATCATCTGCAGAACCACAGGCAAATCTCTTAATCCCCCTGGGCCTCTGGTGAATGATGTAATCTCTGTGATCCCCTTCAGCCCTAAAAGCTTAACTTAAACTCAGAGTATTGGATTTATGCTGGATACAATCTTCTATTTGTACATACAGCGTAGCAGAGAGTGATATATTCCGTAAACTTCCGCTGGTGTGACTTTCTGTAATAAAGTTTACGTGGCACCTGTCTTCCCTCGGACTGTATGCATTCAACTAATGGCTCACTTGGAGTCTCTGGGTTAATTTATTGAACTTTTCTATACAGCAAAAGTGATTTTCTAAGGAATAAGGGATAAACAAAAGCAATAAAAGCCCCTGGTAACATTGTGTTTCCATTTTACCTTTAGAGAGTGTGTTATTGAAAAGTTAAGTCGGGCCCTGTTTCCAGTCCTCAGGAAATGCAACCTAATGATATTTAATGAACTGTGAAGTTACTCTCCCATAGCCTAACTAAAGAGGGATGGATAGAAACAAACTTTTCCCTTGCAAACCAGAAAATTCAACCTAAACAACTGACTGCAGGTATTGGTCTTTGTGGCTTATTGGTATTGATCAGAATAAATAAACACTTCGGTCTCTGTTGTCTCAATTTCCCTCTCTATACAGCAGGAATAAAACCGGGACCTATGTCAAAGGGATAAACCGCTGATGAAATAATCTAATCTACGTATAAAGTGCTTGTAACAGGCTTGGTGCCGAGAAATGCTATAAAAGTTTCCTCAGTTTTATTTCTAACAGCATCCACTGCTAAGCAGACTTCTTTCATGTGGGCTTCTTTTTTTATTCATGGAATAATTTTAGGTTTAAAAACCCAGTGTGTGAATCAGTGGAGCACAGAGTGTGACTTCCAGGGCTTATATAACACCGCCTGCCTTTCTGAGGCTGTTAAATAGCAATAATAATAGCATTTGACTCATAGGATTAATTATTCAAGCAAGGGCTAAATAAACTAATATGCTTTAAGGACTTAGAACCATTCTTGGCGCACACAAAAAAAATTCAGTAAATGTGAAGCACAATTATATAAGCAAATTTCAGAAAAGTAATTAGTAGTCTAAATTTATCCCCCAGTTGTTAGGGACAACGACAGATTTATTGTATAGAAAAGTCTTAATAACGTAGGTATATTAGAAAAAAAATAGATCTTCAGAAGTAAAACCTTGATCCAGCATGGAGATTTCTTGTGGCACAGGACCATGTTGTTACGTAACAGCGGATGAGTGCCCAAAACCCGTCACTGCATTTGGCCACTGTTTCCTCCCTTTTTGTTTACTGAAGCAGAGGACATCCCAGGGCCGTCCTCCTGAGCTCCTGAGGTCACAGACAGACCCAGGGTCAAGATCAAATGCGCATGCCACACAAACATGTTCTCTGTCACTTTTTAGTGGGTTTCTTAAAAAGATGATTTTTGAATTTGGTTTTGTTTTTTGAGCTGAAGGCCTTAAAGCAAAAGCCTTCTTGCAATATCAGTGCAAACTAAGTATATGAACGTGTATAGTATTATATATAGTATTATTTTGCCAAGACACAAGCTTTACTTTCCTCTAATTGATAAATAAGATCTTGTATTAATGGGTTGTAGCATAAGGTGGATAGTTTCCTCATTCATAACAAATAAAATATAAGCATAATAGTCACTGGCTTTGTTTTGTAGAGGAGATATTTTTATTATATTTTTGGATCTGCTAAAATCAAGCATTAAAAATTTGAAGTTATGTTAAATTTTTGACTGACTATAGCTCTGAATGCGTTCCGAAACTTCCTTTTTAAGGGACTCCTTTCTGAGGGTTCTTTTTTTTTAATTCTTCAAAATGAAATGAGTTTCTTTAAATGGATGTTTTCTATTATTTTTTTTTTTAGACTAAGTCTCCACAAGTTGGACAGTCAGTACAAATTCAGTCAGACAGCTTCCTGCTACTCTCCAAAGGGCAACAGCCAGATAAAACTCATATTTACTGGGTGACACCTGGCCACCCTGATGTCAGGAAAGCACAGAATTAGTATTAAGTTCAGCCAGGGCTGAAGTATCCCAAGACTTGGCCAAGGCCGACCGTCCTGGTGATGCAGAACCAGGTTTGAACCATCCCAGGAATCATCACCCACCCTGGTGACCTGGTTGCCTCCCTGGAGCCAGAGGCCCTTTGAAAGCCTCTACCATCTGAAAATACATTGTTACTCAACATGAAGTGGCCACTCCTCCAGATTCCTTCACTAATGCCAGCCATGCATGTGGCTTTTGGTGACAGTTCAGTGCTAAGATGGTGCATTGCCTCATCAATCAGGTGTGTTGCTTTGTGCTACACTGAGCATCACAAAGCCTGTACCCGTCTGTAGCTATGCTTCTGATCCCCACAGTGTGAATCCCATTGACGTTAAGGGAGCTCAGCTGCCAGGATCAAGAGAATCAGTCAATTACCAGGCCCTGGTGTGGAGCAGGAAGAGGATCCCGGAGAAAGACAGAAAAGATGAAGTTAGGCGAGCATCTCCAGAAATGATATTTTTTTTTTCTCAAAACAAGAGCGTTTGGTTACTCTGCTTTATGGACTGAATTGTATTGTATGCAGAGACACTTCTTAGAATGAAGGTATGGAGCGTTTCTAGTCCTTAGAGAACGTCCTCTCAGAGAGTGCATAACTTGACATTTGCGTCTGTTTCTCAGGGTTTAAGAAATTCAACATAATGTGTTGTTGAAATCAATCCATTTGATACTAAACATCTAATAATGTTCAGTAGTCGAAAAGAAGCTGTTGTTTTGAGGTTGACAAGCTCAAGCATCTATCTTTTAACTAACTCAACTTCCAGGGGGAAGAAACCCCACTTTATTTATTATTATTCATATATTATTTATCAATACATTCAGTCAACGGAAGCAAAAAAGGCCCAAGCCCTGCTTTGTTTTACTCCCAGCCTTGTACCTTCTTTTTGTGAGCGGGCCTCCCATTTCAGGTAGTAGAGATACAATCTTAACAGAAAAGCAAATAACCTGGCAGCCAGAGCTGCAATCCTTAGGGTTAAATGGTTAAATTGTTTCCAGTCCATCTTAAATTTATCCTGAATTTCTTTGGAGAAGCTTGGTAGTGACTAGGCTATGCTCAGAGCATAGATAGGCATCAAATATAGCTCCCACCATAGGAACCCATAGGGTGATTTTTGAGACAGGCACATAACCTGTAATAATGTAAACAAATCGTTCAAAATAGTTATGTGAGCTTTTTAGTTGGGTCCTGATTGATAGAGAGACCATACAGGTACAAAAATATGGAGAAGGAAGTGTCAGCCTGGGACCAGTTAAGGAACGGCAGGAGGCAAAGAACCCTATACATGATTCTTATAAGGCCCGTTTAGATTTCTCTTTTCCTCAGTTTTTTCTAAAAGAAAGACAAAGCCGTGTTCACACCTTTGCCTCTGTATCTACAGATGTAGATTAGTAGATATCCCATTGGCAAGTAGCAGAAATATATTTTAAACGTGGATTAAAGTGACCTGAACGTTAAAGCTCTCCCAGTACGCCTTCCTCACCCTCAGAGATTTAATGATTCCATGTGTAATTGACTTCTACTAACGGGGTCGAAGCAACAGTTCTCCAGGCTCTAGGAAGCCACATCCTGAAGCCATCATTATGAATAAGAATTATTTTTGCTGAGTTACATGTTGACTTCTTAGTTGAGTTACATGTTGGCTGAAAATTACACTGGAGTTAAAAAAAATTTTAAATTTTGAGATGGTTTTCTTTTTCTCAGTGCATGCATAATGTGGTAAAAACTGGGAAGGGATTTGTCACTTGCCACTGGTGTCATTCCAGCTTGCTGGGAAGGATGGCTTTTCTCAAGTGCTCTGAGACAGCGCCAAGACTGGAGACAGTATCCAATTGGGGATGGTTTATCAGGCTACAGAGTCTAGGCAGGCTAACTGACGTATTGCTACAGATTTTCTGCACCATTTTGCAACCTTGTACATGTCAGAGAAGAGGATACCTTCTGTTAATAGCAAAACTGCATTGTTATCCCCTCCTCCCTACACACATGTATTCTTAGCAAAATGAAAACTTATTTATAACCCAAACATCCTTCTGCAAATGAATCTTCTTTGTGGCCCAGCAGAAGACTACGCCTTTCGATCTCTAAAGAGCCAGTAATGTCGGGATGGCCCTTGGAAACAGATCTGGGCAGAACAACGCACTTAAAAACA